CGATACCCGCATTCTCCAGAGCAACTTTTTCTTTGGGGTGTATCTCGCCTTATGAAGAGTACTTTGAGACAGATGACTCAGGGTGTTTTTGGACACGTGAAGATTGCTTTTCTGTGAATAACTCCCCATCGCAGAGATGGTACAGATGTCATGTAACTACAATATGTGAAAAGTGTTCCTTACTGTTTTGTGTACATGTAGGTTTGATTCCCTTCACAGTTGCACTTGCTATTTTAGTCGCCCATGACTATGTTAGACCACTAGTCTTGACCTTTAGACCCTCTTGCCTCAGAAAACCCATTAAGAAGGCAAAATACATTCTATCCATAGGACCTTTCTCTTTTTTTTCTCTTACATGTCAGTATTTACTAAGTCACTGAGCTTCCTCACAGCACAGTGCAATAGAGGTTTAACGACAAGGATGGGATTCAAACCCACATGTGCAGACCACAATGGATTAGCAGTGCATCAGCTTGACCAGTGGGAAGTTTGACAAGGGGAATTAGCTCAAATGGTAGAGCGCTCGCTTAGCATGTGAGAGGTAGCGGGATCAATACCCGCGTTTTCCAGAGCAACTTGTTCTTCGGGGTGTATCACAACATATGAAGAACGCTTTGGGACAGAAGTCAGTAACATGATTCAGGGCTTGTTCATATTCATTACAACAGTAGAAATTTGATTTGAGTTCCCACACAATGAAGAAGCAAAAGACACTTCAGCAGATCATTTTGTTTTTGAATTTGAGTGATGACTTTCACGTGTTTAACAAAAGTGGTCAATGTGTCAAAATGGAAAGAAATAATGTTGGTTAAATTTCATGGTGGCATTAATCTCAGATTGGTGTGATTAAGACAATAAACCTCTTTCAATGGATATTAGGCATTATTTTCTGAGCATTTATAGACCAAACAATAAACTGTAAAAATGTAGTAGTTAAAATAATGAATTGTAAATAAATTTAAAGTGGATCAACTTAAAAACATAGCACAAGTTAAGTGAATTGAAATGGAACAATTAGTTCATGTACAGCCAGATTGTTTAATCATGCACACTTACTCATATGCAAAAATCAGTTTTTCATTTGACATGAAGAACTGCTGCTCCTGTTGGAGCTAGTTTTGGTAGAAAGACATGCACTTACAGCACCTTGTTAAACTGGAATTGAAGGAGGTTATGGACTTATTTTTCTGTTACTGTGTGCCATTTCTCCACAGTGTTCATGTGCAACCTGAACTGGAGTGTGCACGTACTTCAGATCGCACATACAAATGTTTTTACAGCACGCCTGAAATAGATATCCAAGATAGATGGCGAGACCATCTCTTCACTGTCAAGCTCGTCAGTGATGACAGACGAACTGTACCCAAGTATATATGAGAAGTGCATTAATTCACGGAGCATTACCAACAGAAATTTGCAATGTTCTAAGTGACCCCACAAATAAGATTGAGAATTCAAACAGTAGCTTGTCATGTACTATAGTGTGTTAATCCAGTTTGGTTATGAATAATTTAAGAGGAAACAGCAACACTTGTGATGGCTTCTGAATTCGATTATGTTCTCTAGAGACATCTAGTGGCCATGGTCATCAAAGCAGCTTTATTAGTAATTTCCTAACTGGAGTATCAGTATTACATGACTGGAGGTGAGAGTGTGGTCATCAGCTCTGTATGTCTATTATTGCACAGTCGGCTTTCCTTCTGTGCAGCCTCACTGCACATGCTGAAAACGAGCGTTTAAAAGAAAAGTATTTTTTAAAATCTAGCAAAGATGATTTTGTCACTGATTCTGGTCCTAATAAAATACCGACTTGCAGGGGTAGTTAGGTTATTTAATGCTGATTTTGTCATTGCTGTCTACATGTGTCAATGTCATTTCCTCATTAGATTCACATTGGGCCAACTCCTAGCTCACACGTATATGCGTGTATGTCACAGAATGTGTTCTTAGCTGTTACGTTATTAACTTAGTGAAGCAACTAAAAAGTAAAAAAACAAAAACAAAAAGAAACATGTAGTGAGATGCTGTTAGGAAAATACACTTCTGACAATGCTGCAGCAGATGCACAAAGTTACATTTACAGTTTATTTTTTTTAAAAAGCAGCAAACAAAAACAAAAATACAAAATAGAAAAATGACAGTGTGGCGAGTCAGAATTGTCTCGACAGGATGCCAACGTGCTTACTACAGTTCACACCGACTCAAGACATTGTATCTTAACACGACACCTGATGGAGCTGACTGGAATTGGGCCTCAGGATGTGGTCCCTTCAGATCCAGCACAAAGTTACACTTCAAGTTTGGGAAAATTTTTTTACTTCCAAAAAAGGGTATGACCTGATCAAAGTCAAATAAGGAAGGACCACTGGTGCATTCAAGATACTGCAACCTACATGGTGTTGGCCCACTAATGAAGAGCCACAGGAGTGCAACAGTGCACTTCTGTTTATGGTTAGGGGCAGCTGAATGTAAGCTGCATGGCTTGACCCAAACCCACACTACATACTGATAACCATTATCACATGGTTCACATAATAAAAAAATAAAAAAAAGAAAAGAAAGGACAATGCATATCAAACTGCGGTCCACTAAGTGTGAAATGGAGGTGTTGCTCCTAGCTTTTCCAAAGCTGCAGCTTGATTCCATATCTATTTCATCATTGGCTGCTGGTAAAGCATAGTAAAGTTACATTATTTTATACACTACATGTTAAAACTGAAAACTATGACAATTAGTATGTAGTACATAATGTATATTATTAGTATATAGTATGGCTTTGGGTTACTGCAGCTGTTATCAGTTAGGTCACAATGCTTGCAGTGACATTATACACCAACCTTGCATAACAGGTCAATTCAGCATCTGAAATCTATTTTGATAATTAAGTTTGGTATTGCCTCAAGTTCACTGTCAGAAAAACATCCAAATTTATTCTATTATTCAGCTGCAGTGTGCTGACTAATGAAAAGCATGTGAGCACATTATTGCTGGCATAAGACCAGGGAGTGTATACTGAGATGCTGCTGTGATCACTTCAGAGTAGAAGCTGCTGTGCCTCAGAGGCTCAGTGAGCCTACAAGCTAACTTCCTGGTTTGTACTTTGCCTTCTCACTGGATCCTGGTGCACAGCTGTCACACAAACACAGACCTTGTGCATTTTTTTTTTTTTTTTTTAATAAATGGGTATCTGAGGTCTGAACAGTCTTTCTTGTCAGTTCCAGTTTCTATTAAGTCATACACAAATGGAGTAGACAGTTTCTCAAATATACAGAATCTGAAAAGCTGCACACCTACAGCTTCAACAGGATCCAAACTAAGGAACGAGCAGTAGCTGTCATGTAATAACTACACAGAACGCTAAAGTGGGCAAACAGTAATACTATGCATACATGTAGAGATGTCAGAACTGTTGTGTTTGTGTCTACATGGATCTCGCATAAGCAAAAGACAAGAAACCCCAATGTAAAACACAAGACACCAAGCATGTGTCACACAAGTGTAGTAATTAACTACTGCACAAAGAACCAACACGTCAATGCACTTTGACCCCAGGGATGTGAAAACCTTTTAAATACTGTTAATGTCTGGAAAAAAAAAAAAGTCTTTAAAATGTTGCTGCAGGGGAGCAAACTATTGTACAGACTCCCAGTGACACCGCACTCTGTCCGCTACTAAAGACAACACAAGGAAGGAGACTTCTAACGCATCCTGTACTCTGACGTCTTCGACATCTCACACAGCTGACCCTTGAAGTCGATGTCTATGGTGAAGTCCAGGTCCCTCTGCAAACCAGCACACGGCAATGAGTCAGATGAGATGTACACAACAACCAAATGCAGGGTTGGAAACAACAATTAGTAAACAGCAACACCACACTGCTGTGCTGAATACTAAAAACACAGCTCACATTGTTCTTGACGTTTGGCTTCATGCTGATGGTCCCAAAGATCTCCTCACCATTCTTCACAGTCAGGTAATCGTCCAGGTAGAAGACGGTCTGCTTCCAGTGGGTGTAGGTAGACTCTGGGCCTGTGAGGGTGGAAGCTTATAAATTTAGGCTGCTGCTAAAACAAAATTCTTCAAGTTGTGGATGTGCAGTTCAAAGTAAAACTCCATCACAGACACTTGGGACCAGATTTACTAGGAAAATCTGGTTTTCATTTTTTGTAGCCACAATCTGCATAAATGTAGCACCTGATTTAGCAAGACAGCAGCTCATTGCAGTCAGCTCTAACACACTCATTCTGTTAGCAACCGAGAGCTCAGAGGCACCGTTTAGCAGGAGCAGTTCTGGCATCACCTACCTCTTCAAAAAAATAAGTGATAAGGGAGCAATCTGGATTTCTAAACATTTACTTCAGCTGTTGTTCAAATGCACATGAGAAACCTGTTAATAGGTGGTTTGCAAACACTTAATTATGACATGTTAAACTGAAATGGAGGGCAGGAAGTGAAAAACAATGAAGAGGGAATAAAGTCTATATTGTGCTAGTTTAAATGATATTAGGAGAAAAGATTCAAAGGTCCGGTGACTCCACTAAAGATGTCAAATGATCATCCCAAAACAGCTCATTGTGACTGCACAGCAGGGTAGCAGTTAGCCAGATACATAAGTGGTCACGGTGCAGCGGTGCATTAGCCCACTCTGCTCCTCTCGACCCCGCACAAAGGCTTTGAAAACCATTTTTGGCAGTATTATGTTCAGTTCAGTATTGTGTATTGTTAAGTTGTTTCTGCCTAGTAACTTAATGTGAATCTAACCTTATCCTAGCCCTGACCACTGATGGGGGGGGGCTAAGAAAAAGTGTTTCCTTGCATTTCTCCCTTTATGAACAACTACTTCTGGTACTCAAACGGTTCGCCTGCTTTGTCTGTGTGACTGATTTGATCAACTGTAAATAACACAAACTACTGGCATTTTGAGAGCTTGTAATAGTACTGCCTATGTAGAAAATCTGGTAAACAAAAATAGGATGGTTGTGAGATCTCAGTAACCTTAATCTTTGACCACCAAAATCTAATCAGTTCATCCTTGAGTGGACATTTGTGCCAAATTTGAAGAAATTCCCTCAAGGCATTTCTGTGATATCTGTAACAAATGATCTGAATGCCTCACAGACAGAGATGCATGTCTGTTTACTAGAGTACCAGGCAGAATACCCATTTATCAGTGTTAGAGAAAGTCACATAACAGTGACTAAGCATGAACAGGTTGAAGTATTAATGTATCATCAGTCTGTGTACAGACTACAGGTGTAGTGTGTGTTACACTGACTGGTGGAGAAGCCAGTCCTCTTGTGACAGCGGGTGAACTCGATGTTGAAGTAGGTGACTAGAGCATGGATGTAGTCATTCCTCTTCACCTGTAGGCAGAACGGTGAGGTGAAGGTCAGGTCTTCTGCTTTCACTGTGTAGATGTCCACCTCCTATACAAAAACACACACACAGCATGTTCAGTGTCCGATATTCTAGTACAGAAAAGACAAGCAGATTCAACACTTCTGGAGCAAAAAACTTATTCATTTCTGTCCCAGTGTCATTCCAGCACATCCACCCACCTTGATGAGACAGGCACTGCTAACCAGCTGCTTGGGATCCACCACATCAACCAGGGGTTCTTTAATTGCCACCTCCTTGATGCACGACATATCAAACCCATACACGTTCTCCCACCCTGTGAGAATCACACACACAGGACCACAGAGCAGTCAGGTCACTGATAACAATACATGTGCATTATAGACAGTGGCGTCCAGTCCTGTGTGGTTTTCAAGCTTCCAGTCCTAAGCCATTGGATTGATTAGTTCACCCCTTTCCACATGTTCAGAACTAAAACCCAGCTCTGTGTTCTACCATAGCATAGAGCCAGACAGGGGCGGTGCTAGACATAAGCTCCACTGGGGCACAGGCTCCCCATTACTCAAATTACAATTGTTTTTCTTGAATGTCTGCTGCATGAATGAAATGTGTGGTATAAGAACATCCCATGTTTAGCCCACAGTTCCACTGTCATACTGCTGCTACTGAAACTACTGGTAAAAAGCAAAAATGTAGAGAGATCAATCTTTATGAAAATATTTAGGGCAGGAAAGTGGCACGATTTTTTGCCTCACAGCAAGAAAGTTCTGGGTTCGAGCATGGTCAACCTGTCGCCTTTCTGTGAGGAGTTTGCATCTTCTCCCCGTGCCTATGTGGGTTCTCTCCCAATACTCCGGCTTCATCCAAAGACGTGTAGCTTAGGTTGACTGTCCACTCTAAATTGCCTGTAGGGGTGAGTGCGAGTCTGTGTGGTTGTTTGTCTACATGCTAATACACAAACAGCTGTGCATGAACTACGACATATGTATGTGCGCACCGTGGTGTACGAACCCTGGCCAGTGCACCTCAGCTTGCATTTTGCTTTGACATTCTGCATTAGAACAAACAGATCGAATATTTTTTCCCATTATTAACAAATCTGCCAAATATCGGATCCTGTTACAAATTGAATGTGTGATTTTACTGGGGCACAGCAGATCAAGACTGGGACACATGCCCCAGTAAAAGGGGTCTAATGAAGTCTATGGAGCCAGACACTAACGGACTGTTACTGGGGTTTGAGGAAAGTATCACAGATGAGGTACTGAAGCTCAGGATTTAGGCTGGGTAAGGTAATAGACTACTCACAGTGGATTTTGTAGTCCTTGTACTGCCTGTCTTCAATGGCAGTGACATAAAGGGTCGCCCTGTCTGGGAAAATGAGACCATCTGGCTTCTGTCAGGGTGAAAGGGGAAAAAAAGAAGACTCAGAACAGAACTTTAACAGCCTAGCCAGTTTTATGACATTTCTAAACAGGTGTGAGACAACAGACCATGCAGCCTTCACAACAGCAACAACAGTCACCCATTACAGCCACAAAATCAGAGTTCATAGTACCTGTATGATATGAAATATGGTCAGACAATTCACATGCCTACCAAATGGTCTGCGCACCCACAAAGAGTACAGTAGGGTTTGTGAAGATGGAGGTATTAAATAGTGTTGGCAACGTATCCAGAAAACTTGTGTTTTTGTGTTGAGGGTAAGGAGATCATTAGGAGGACACATTAAAACTGAAATGTAAAGTGGGGAAAACACTCGCTCACACATACATACCAGCCATTTATCCCTGGCATAAATGACAGTATTGAGCATGGACTCATAGAAGAGACAGTAGCCCATCCACTCCGATATGATGATGTCAACCCCCTCCACAGGCAGCTCCACCTCCTCAACCTTCCCCTTGATGATGGTCACAACTGCAAATACATGAAGAGGTCAGGAGATACATCACAGCTTTCATCCAGATCCCCATGAGTCAGACATCCTACATGTGATTAGATCATGTACTCACCATCATCCAGCTTGTTTGCCTTGACGATTTTCACAGCGTAGTCTGAGATGCTGCTGCACTCAATCTATTTAGACAGAGTCAAAGAACCACACCTGAATTTGCACTCATCCTACTTATGCTGACACCATAAAGAGGCCAATACAGAAAAACAAAAATGAATTGAGATCTGACTGAACCCAGACATACCCCTATAACCTTCTTGGCTCCAGCTTTGGCAGCAAACATACAGAGGATGGCTGTCCCACTGCCCACATCCAGCACTACTTTGTCCTTAAACAGATGCTTGTTGTGGAACATGGAATTGCGGTAGGTCAGAGTGCGAACCTCATCTTTCAGCATCTCCTACAGTGGCAGGGAAAAAAGTGCAAGCGGTTCAAGGAGCTTGTGACACAAAGAAATAAACTTCAAATATTTTGATATGTGAATATTAAGGTACTGTAGTTCATTCAGCTTTAACAATATTACCTCGTGGATGCCAAAGTGGGCGTACGAGTCAAAGTAGTAGTCCTTTGATGTCATATCCTCAGCTGCAGGCTTGGCTGAGCTCTCCCCCTGAGAAACCTCAACAAAGACACACACAATTACAGCCTGAAGTGCCCTGGGGCTCAAGCCAATGGGGGGGGAAAAAAAAAAGGTTTAAAAATTCAACAGCAACATGTTTGTTCCAACACAATGTAAACAACGACTGCTGAGGATAATCCACAGAGTGCACTGAACTATCTTCTCTGGAACAAAAGGTGAAATTTTCAACTGCACCCGGTTTTGTAGATATAGTTTGCACTGTGGCCAGAGGATGTGGAGAAAAACACAGGGCTTGAGGTTACTGCATGTCCGGGAACACTCCTGTACAGGGACTCGCTGTTTTACCTGACCGGGTCTAACCGGCCAGTGAAGCCACTGCTGCGGTTAGTGATCAGCTCATCAATGCTGCATTCCCCCCGGAGGACAGTACCTGTCTGCTGCATGTTGTGTGTTTCTGGTTAACGAGCAGATTAACGACCCATATTGTTACTGATGGAGCTACGCAACCTGTTAGAATGTTCACAAACCATCCTCTCGTTTTTAGCTATTGGCTTTTTGGTTTTATTGTTCTGAAAAAAAAAAAAAAAAAAAAAAGACTATTTGGAGTTATGAGGGGTGCCAAGATAATCTAGAGGTACCCAAGCTTAAACAAATGGCTGGAAACAAGCATGCATGGGGACTTTAAACATAGAAAGTGATGGTGAAAAAAAAATAAACGGCAACATTAGGCTTCTGAGGTCACGAAACATCAACTGGAGTCAGGTGTTAGCAAACCTGGAGTCCAATCACTGAAATGGGAATGGAGGTGTGGTTTAGAACAACCTTGACTTATAAAAACACTCTGTGTCAGTGTACTATTCACAAGCAGCAGCAGCTCAGGTGAGCCATGCCTTGCAAAAAGAGATTCAGAAGACCTACGATCAAGAGCTGTTAATTTTGTGTGTAGCTGGAAAGAGTTAGAGTCATCTGTAACTTTAGAATATTCATCACTCCACAGTTAAACATACTGTCTATAAATGGTGATTATTTGGTACTCTGGCTGCTCTCCATAGAAGTTGGTGCCCATCCAAGATCACTCCAAAGGCATAATGCAGAATGCTCAGTGAGGTTAAAAAAAAGAACCCTAGAGTTAAGAGCTGAAGACTTGAAGGATTTATTGGAGTTGGTTAACATATCTTTTCATGAGTCAACTCTACACAAAATATTGAACATGCATGGTATCCACAGCAGGACACCACAGAGGAAGCCATTCCTCTCCAAAAACAAACATTGCCTCAGGCCTTAAGTTTGCCAAAGACCCAATTGACACTCCACAACACTACTAGGAAAATGTCCCGTGGACAGATGAAATAAAGACTAATAACAATCACCTTTATTTGGCCAAGTATGTTACACACACAAGGAATTTGTTTCTGGTACAGAACCGAGGCAGCCATCTGCGGCGTCAACTCACACTGATGGGTCTGACCATCGGGGTTTCAGTGTCTTGCCCAAAGAAACTTCGACACGTGGACTGCAGGCACTGTGATTTCAAACTCCAACCCTCGGGTTGGGAAACGACCACTCTACCCATTGAACCACAGTCGCCCCCAAGGTACAATTGTCTGGGAAGAACACACAGCACTTTGTATGGCATAAAAAAAGAGAACTGTGCACCAACATGAAAACATCATCACAATTGTGAGTAGTGATGCACCGAAATGAAAATTCTGGGCCGAAACCGAAACTTTAGGATGCATTTGGCCGAAAACCGAAACGAAACCGAAAATGGCTTTTTTTAAAAACTTCAAATTTTTAAAACACGCTTACTCTATAATTGTGTGTGTGTGTGTGTATATGTATATGTATATATATATATACACTATGCAAAATTGGACTGCTGTTTAGTTCAACAAACGTGGCAGGTTTTTCTTTAGGAACAAAAGTTGCTCCGC